GCCACTGTACTGCAGCCTGGGAAACAGAACAAAACCCCATCTCAAAAAAATAAAAAAGGTTTTAATTCCCCCACATTGCCTCTGTGCTACTAAGTAAGACTTACTGGTTGGTTGATTAGAAAGGAAACATCACAATATTGGAAGAATATACCCAAGGTTTTGTGATGGTAGAATTGTTTTGAGATCTTCTTCAAGTTGCTTTTTTTGTTTGTTTGTTTGGAGACGGAGTTTCGCTCTTATTGCCCAGGCTGGAGTGCAGTGATGTAATCTCGGCTCGCTCGATTCTCCTGCCTCAACCTCCTGAGTAGTTGGGATTACAGAAGCCTGTCACCACACCTGGCTAATTTTTTGTATTTTTAGTAGAGATGGTGTTTCACCATGTTGGCCAGGCTGGTCTCGAACTCCTGCCCTCAGGTGATCCACCCGCCTCAACCTGCCAAAATGCAGGGATTACAGGTGTGAGCCACCCCGCCCGGCCTCAAGTCACTTTCTACTTTAAGATGAAATCTTCACTATTTAATCCTGTGTATGGCCTGTTAGCTCAGCCTGTTAGAATCTCATCTGTGTCATGTCAGGGTTGCAGGTTCAGCCCCCATATGGCCTGTGTATATGACATGCAGTTGCACCCTGCAAGCAAATGGGAATTTGCAGGGTTTGTGCAGATTCCAACTTTCTGAAAAACAAGTCAAGGTATTTGCCCTCTTGCTGGTGGGCTGATGGTGTCATCCTCATGTTCCTGGGTCAGCACATGGAAGCAGGAAATAAGGTCACCCAACAGAGAGCCTTTTGACTGTACCCTGGATCTAAGTGGATATCCGCACCTGTCAACTGCCCTGACCGAAAGCCCTGGAGAGAGTTCCTTGTCTCCGGAATCACTGAGTGTTTTTGAAGGGCATGTGGCGTGATGGAAAGTCGTGCTCTAGGAAGCTTGGTCTGGCAGGAGCGTTAGTCATGATGGGTGTCAGCTGGACTTAGTTCCGGTGAGAAGGTGGATAGGACCTAATCGAGCAGAAGAAAAAGAACCCGGATGGAACTGCTGCTTCTCCGGGTGCAGACAGTTGTGCTTAAGATGTGGCTTTCAGCCACTGCCCTCATTTATATTTTTGGGGGGTCATCCTTGAGATTCTTCACCTTAAATCTGATGGTCATGATCCTTGAGATTCTTCACCTTAAATCTGATGGTAGTGACTGTCCATTGAAAAAGAATGGCTATGCCGGGCATAGTGGCTCACACCTGTAATCCCAGCACTTTGGGAGGCTGAGGCGGGTGGATCACCTGAGGTCAGGAGTTTGAGACCAGCCTGGCCAACACGGTAAAACCCCATCTCTACTAAAAAGACAAAAAATTAGCCAGATGTGGTGGGGCATGCCTGTAGTCCCAACTACTTGGGAGACTGAGGCAGGAGAATCGCTTGTACCCAGGAGGCAGAGGTGACAGTGAGCCGAGATCATGCCATTGCACTACAGCCTGGGCAACAGAGCAAGACTCTGTCTCAAAAAAAAAAAAAAAATAGAATGGCTAATCCTAAAAGGGCTAAATAAATTACATTGATACTGATGACAATGATATAAGCATTTTTCCTCTGCACAATTTAAATATTTTAATTTGACTTTTTCAAAGAACCCCAAATACTTTACCTGTCATAGCCTCAGTGAAACACCTGAATTGAAATCTGAAATTTAAAATCTTCTCAATCATGTCAGATAAATGCACATCTGAATGTGAAGATAGAGGCCTGCCCCAGCAAGAAACATACAGTCAAGTTGCACACGAGCCCCATGCCCGTGATACATTTATCACGTTATCCATGGATCGTACTCTATTTGTGTGATTCTTCTGCATGGTCATGTCCATGCTGTCAGACCCCGTTCTGATGATATTTTGGGAGCAGTTCCACTAAGATCTCTGCCCAGGCCACTCTCCTCGCCTGTGTTGAGAGAGGATCTGAAGTTTGACGTTAGTCTTCCTCCTATGTCTGTCCCCGTGTTTGCGCACAGGCGCATGGGCACCAGCAAGCCTTTCTCTGATTTTAGGGCTGGACTTCCACCATGGTTCACCCCACGGTGTCCTTCTGTGGCAGTCCAATTTGCATATTGGATGTACAATTAATCACTTCCCTGCTCAAAAATCTTCAGTGAATTTTTGCTGTCCAAAATCTGAAATTTTTCATTTACTCTTCCTATCCTTTTTTTTAGACAGATCTCACTCTGTCACCTAGGCTGGAGTACAGTGGTGCAATCACTTCTCACTGCAGCCTCAAACTTCTGGCCTCAAGCCATTTTCCCACCTCAGCCTCCTGAGTAACTGGGACTACAGGCATGCACACCGCACCAGGCTAAACTTTTAAATTTATGTAAAGACACGGTCTCACCCAGGTTGGTCTTGAACTCCTGGCATCAAGCGATCGATCCTCCCGCTCAGTCTCCTGAGTTACTGGGATTATAGGTGTGAGCCACAGCACCCAGCCCTCCATTCGTTTCTGTTATAGACATTATAGAGTTGGGAAGGTGACTTGAGAGGTTCATCAGGTCTGATACTGAGTCTTTTATTGTGCTTACCTAACCAGACATTTCCTCTCTCTGGACAAATATTTTCTGTGATCTAGAATGTACTGTTTATTCATGCAGTCTAAACTTTTACAAAGATCTTCCTTGCAGCAAGTATAAATAAAACTAGTTCTGCACCAGTACTTTGTTCATGACGTATCTTCACTGGGAAAACCTCGAGTCATCTACTATTTTAAATTATAAGTTTTGTTATTATTCAGGTGTGGTGAGGCCAACAGACCAGTAGAGGATGGGCAGCTATGGAGAAGATAGTTACTCAGCCAGGCACAGTGGCTCACAACTGTAATCCCAGCACTTTGGGAGGCTGAGGCAGGCGCATCACTTGAGGTCAAGGAGTTTGAGACTAGCCTGGCCAACATGGGAAACCCCATCTCTGCTAAATACAAAAATTAGCCAGGTGTGGTGATGCGTGCCTGTAATCCCAGCTACTCAGAAGGCTGAGGCTCAGGAGGCAGAATCGCTTGAACCTGGAAGGCAGAGGTTGCAGTGAGCCGAGATTGCGCCACTGCGCTCCAGCCTGGGCAACAGAGTGAGACTCTGAAGAAAGAAAAAAGAGAGGGAAAGAGAGAGAGTGAAAGGGTGGAAGGAAGGGAGCAATGAAGGGAGAGAGGGAGGGAAATTAAAAGAAAAGTTACCCACAGTTCCCAAGAGGAGGGCCACGCCACACCAGGCAGGACCACACAGAGAAACACCAGGGCCGACCAGGAGGCCAAGGGAGCAGGAGAAAATGTGGGCAGGACCCTTTATTGTGATTTTTTCAGTAAGGAACGGACAAGGCAGGGTATGCGGCCGCGGCAGGTTTAGGGTTGGCTAATTTCACTAATTGTGATGGGTTCTGGGACACAGGAGCTCATCCCAGTTGCCTGGTACCTGGCCCTGGCATGATCAGGGCAGGGAAGGGTGGCCTGGAATATAACAGCCCCTAGGGGATGTGGCTGGGGAGTGGGCTCTGATTGACAGGCTGCAGGTGAAAGTCATGCTCACGGAGCAGTAGTTTACGATCTCCAGGAATTAGTGATGGGAGGGGCAGTCCCTACATGCCCAGCAAAGCTCTAAGATGTCAAAGCACCAAATTAGAGAACACAAAGACACAGTTAATACACCTACTCACCCTGACAGTCCCATCTCAGTTATGAGTAGCTACATAACCTTGAAGGAAAACCTCAAGTTCCTCATCTTGCAGAATGAAGGGTTGAGGATTACAGCACATCCAAAAGCCCGTTGTTTCATCCTTTGGGGAGAAAGCCTCTGACTTTCTCTAACTTTTTCTCCATTGCCAGTCTCTTCGGGTTTGTTCCATTGGGAAGATGCACCATCACCCCGGGGGAATCGTCCTGTCCCTGCATGCCTGTGGCATGAATGACACTTTCTCGATGTGGCTCCCGCACAAGGAGGGCAGGTCAGCAACGGGCCATCCTAGGACTTGACCTAATCTCTTTCATACGTAGACTTTTCTGCCCACACTTGTACTCCTAACTCCTTTAACTGATGGGCGCTCTGGGGCACGTCATCATTGACCCTGCAACTCTCCTAACTTCAGTTCTTGGTCTGAGCCAAGTGATTATTTGGTACGGTATATACGTCTGTGACCCATTTGGCAGGTGACATTTAAGAACACCAATGTGAAGGATAATTGAAAATAGCATCAACTTGCAAGTGTAAGACAAAATATGGTAGAGCCTGTGTGCTGCCACTTGGAAAAACAACTTTCCATTGTCTGTTATAGCATTGTGAATTGAGATGGCAGTGAAGGGGTGACTGGAACTCTTATTTCTGCAGGCGAGAGAGGGAAATCCAGTCCCTTGTATTGATGTTGCTGCCTGGACATGAGCTATAAAGGTTAAAAGACGAAAGGTTGCTCCATTTGACACGAACTAAGAACCATTCTAGAAACTTAAACTGTGTGGAAAATACAGTATGCTGATGTTCGCTATGGAAAAAAATCACCAAGAACAGTGCTGCGCTGTTCAGAATAGTTAAATTTTATTCCCCCATAGATGAAGCAGGAAATTTCAATTGTGTGTGGTTTTAAAGTTCTTAGAAAACTCCTATAAATTATAAAAATAATTATAAAAACTCCTATAAATTATAAAAATATTTCATAAATTTCATAAATATTGAGGTAAATCAGGACTTTATTTATTTAATTATTTTGAGATGGAGCTTTGCTCTTGTCCCCCAGGCTGGAGTGCAGTGGCACGATCTTGGCTCACTGCAACCTCCGCCTCCTGGGTTCAAGCGATTCTCTTGCCTCAGCCTCCAAAGTAGCTGGGATTACAGGTACCTGCCACCATGCCTGGCTAATTTTTGTATTTTTAGTAGAGACGGGGTTTCACCATATTGGCCAGGCTGGTCTCAAACTCCTGACCCAGGTGATCCACCTGCCTCGGCCTCCCAAAGTACTGGGATTATAGGTGTGAGCCACCATGCCCGACCTTAATCAGGACATTGTAAGGTTTCATGACTTGTAGGCGTCAGCAGAGTTTACCATGCTTTACCATTAATACAGAATTTGTTCAATCAGATGTAGAAAGCAGAAATGGTATTTCACTAAACACATGCACATTTTTGAATGTTCAGTGAGTGGCAACTGGAAACCTAATTAGCGTATCACTTTAATTCTGCTCCTGGAGTTACTGCTTGTGATGACCTAAATGTGGCTGTGCAACCCTTCGGGTTTAAAAGGGAACTAAAATGATCAGTGCTATAAAAACAAGCACCCACTAATACTTGGAGTGGAAAACCTTCAGATTCTGCTTCTTGGAAGGATGGACTCATGTGGCACATTCTAGAATGACATGGGTTTTTCGTTTGTTTTTTGGGGTTTTTCTGGTGTTTTGTTTTGTTTTAAAGCGATAAATTCTAATCAACACTGCAGAAAGATATATAATTTTAACACCAATAAGCTCAAACTAACTTTCTAAAAACATTTTCTAGGATGGGTTATCTGACAGAAATCGCCCATATAAGGTTTAGCTTACATTTTATTAAACATTTCTAGAGCAAGCTGTTTACTGTAATAGACAAAAAACAGCATATCTGGACCTAAACCTAAAAGTGAAAAATGGGTCCACAGGCACCCTCTTAACCATTTTTCCAAAGAAATATGTTTAAACGGCTTTACCATGCAGAGCTATGGCTTCCCGGAAGGGTTGCAAATCAGTCTCTACAGATGAGCTAGTTTCCGTTGAAGTAGCTCGGTTAGGGGACACTACAGTCAGTCTTGGGGGAGCTCTAGAGTTTCGTGGTGGAGGAACTTTTCCACACAGGAAGCTGATCAAATCTTCTCTACGAATAGTTCTTCTGCGTTTTTTAACCCAAGCCAACACATCCTTATTGCGTCGCTGATAGCCAATCTGAATTCCAATATCAAAACTTCGTTGATGGGTATCCACGCTTTCTTTGTAGAGGTTGGTGACGGCGGTGGCTGCGTTTTGGAAGGGGACCCAGAGAGAAAGTCCTGGCTGCTGACACACTCGGTCTTTGTAGAGCTGGGCCACGGCGGTGGCCGAGTTCTGGAAGAGGTGCCACAGCTTCTGCTGCTTGTGTTCGGGCTGTGCGGCGGCCGCTGCCTCCTCCTGCACTCGGGGGAGCCTGCTTCGTCCTGCTCGGCCTCGGCCAGGCACTGCCGCTCCCAACTTGGAGAACAGTGCTCGGGCCGTGCTCCTGGATCTCGGCTCGCCCTCCTCTTCCGCTCCTCCATCCTCCGCGGCCTCCCGCGGCCTCGCCGCCGCCGCGCGCGTCTCTCAGTGGGGCCCCCGCGGGAGCCGTCCGTCGTCAAGGCCCCGCGCAGGGGCCGCGCGGCGGCGGCGCTCTCCCTCTCAGCGGCCGCCTCCTGCACCCGACGGCCGGCGAGCCCGCCCGCGGCGCCGTCACCAGGGACGACCACCGCCAGGCCTTCCACACCCGGGCCCGCCGAGGTCGCCGCGCCCAGAGGGGGGGGCATGACGCGCTACGGCCCCTCGCCTCGCCCGCCGCAGCCTGTCTAACGCTCCCCCATGACGCTGCGGCCTCCCAACTGCCGCCGCCGCCGCCGCTGACCGCCAAGCCCTCTGCGCAGCCCGGCCTGCGCCGCTGAGCCCACCGCAAAGACTGTTTTGTTTTGTTTTTTTGAGATGGAGTGTTACTCTTGTTGCCCAGGTTGCAGTGCAGTGGCACACTTTCGGCTCACAGCAACCTTCACCTCCTGTGTTCAAGCAATTCTGCTGCCTCAGCCTCCCAAGTAGGTGGAATTGCAGGTGCCTGCCACCACGCCCAGCTAATTTTTTGTGTTTTTAGTAAAGACAGGTTTCACCATATTGACCAAGCTGGTCTAGAACCCCTGACCTCAGGTGATCCACCCACCTTGGCCTCCCGAAATGCAGAGATTACAGGTGTAAGCCACCACACCTGGCCAAGAACAACATGTTAAACTAATGGAGCTGAGCGGCTGGCAGGCGGGGGTCTAAGTGGGGTGTAAAGAGCAGGAATAGGTAGAATTTACTAAGGGAAATGAGCAATCTTGGCCATCCCCAGCAGAGGATGATATAAGAATTCGAAAACCCACTTCTTTAAACAAAAAGACATTACCCAAAAATTGGGACTGTCTTATCTCTTTTTTTCTTCTCTGACTCCCCTATTTCTTCTGTAGGACCCTAGTCCACTCCTTTCCTGCCTAAATGTCTTCATACTGCCTATAGTTCCATGGGTTCATTAGTGACCCAAGAATTATGAAAAGTCTGAGATTCTGCCGAGCTTGGAAGCTAATGAGCCAGCCTAGCACGGTTTGATAGAAGTTGGTGGAGACATGATACTTCCTGGTCAGAGATAAGGGATGTTTATTACTCACAGCAGCAGTAGTAGGCAGAGTGTCAGCATTCTTGCTCCAGTTCCCCGAACCCCATTTCCCACAGGAGCAATGCAAAGAGGGCCAGAGGATACCTGCACATGCAACGGCTTACTTTATAGGAGAGAAACCCTGAGCTTCAGGGACCCATATCTTTTCCAAGAGGCACCAAGCATACCTACTCTTTGCTCTAGAGGGAGACACCTCTCTGTCTTGCATAGCTGTTCACTAAAGAAACATCCTTGAAGAGGGCTGGGTGCGGTGGTTCATGCCTGTAATCCCAGCACTTTGGGAGGCCAAGGCGGGTGGATTACCTGAGGTCAGGAGCTCAAGACCAGCTGGCCAACATGGCAAAACCCTGTCTCTACTAAAATTACAAAAAAAAAAAAAAAATAGCTGGGCGTGGGGGCTGCCTGTAATTCCAGCTACTCGAGAGGCTGAGGCAGGAAAATTGCTTGAACCAAGAAGACACAGGTTGTAGTGAGCCGAGATCGCGTCACTGCCCTCCAGCCTGGGCGACAGAGCCAGACTCCGTCTCAAAAACAGAAACATCCTTGAAGAGACAGCTCAGAACAGAGAGCACAGTCAGTATCTTGCCCACAATATGTAAAGAAGTACTTAAGAGACCCATGGAGAATTGTCTTGCCAATGGCTTCTGCTGTTCCTCCAGCTCTCCATGTCCTTGGGAATTGTCCACAGTGGTTATGAGAGAGAGAAAAAAGAATCTTCCAAGAACCATAGCCAGGCATGGTCAGCTCCTTCCATGAGCTTTCTCAGGAGGTCTTTTGTAAACTTTCTGTAGACCCTTGGTGATCCTCATTCAGGAGTCAAATGTTGGGAAACAATCAGCTAATTATAAAAATGTCTAGCAGTGATTAAGCTCTCACTGTGCACAGCTGCAGTGTGTGGGAAGCGCTGTACCCTTGTGATCTCACTACAGCTCTGAGATTATTATGGCAGGGCCATTACCCCATTTCTTACAGATGAGAAAACTCTGCTTAAGAGCAGTAAGCCAGAAGGGGCAGAGATGACCATCAACTCTAGGTTGTCAGTCCAAAGCCCTGCACTCTGAATAGCATACTATGTTTCTCTCTCTCTCTCTCTTTTTTTTTTTTTTTTTGCGGAGGGAGCTTTCTTAATTAAGAAGCTTTTTAGGGGAAAAGGGTGCTTTGGAGATTTTGTTTCACCAAATAAAGTTAGTGGAATGCTTGCAAGTGGGGAAAGATCAGGAATACTTTTGTTGCCAGCAGACACCTTACAAAGTCACCACCAGGCAGTTCACCCACCAATCTTACGGTGTTTTCAAGACAGTTGGTATCCATATTTTCTGGACACAGAAATGACAGGTCAAGGAGGCTGTGAACTTGGCCAAGACCACATGACTGGTTAAGTGAGGAGCCTAGAAACCAGCCCCAGACCATGCAGTCGTGAAATGTGCATTCTGTGCACAGTCCCCAGGAGGAATATTTGTAATGTAAATGCTAAAGTGCCTTGAAATATTTCAGCTTCATCTGAAACAGAAAAGAAAACTTCAATAATAGCTTCACTGTAGCCTGTTTAATATCTTTCTTGGAAAAGATAAGCCCATATGTGTATGATTTAAGCACTGCGCTGACTTCAGCTGCTCCAGGGACCTTTATCTTGTTTTGTAATACTTCAAGTGTTAGAGAGCATCACACACTTAGGCCATTCATAGTTTTTCAGCAAGCCCCTTCAGCTTGCCTTTTTTGCCCTTTTTGTTTTTTGAGACTGAGTCTCGCTCTGTTGCCCAGGCTGGAGTGCAGTGGCGTGATCTTGGCTCACTGCAAGCTCCGCCTCCCGGGTTCACGCCATTCTCCTGCCTCAGCCTCCCGAGTAGCTGGGACTACAAGCGCCTGTCACCATGCCTGGCTAATTTTTTTTGTATTTTTAGTAGAGACAGGGTTTCATCGTGTTAGCCAGGACGGTCTCGATTTCCTGACCTTGTGATCTGCCCACCTCGGCCTCCCAAAGTGCTGGGATTACAGGCGTGAGCCACCGCGCCCGGCCCATTTTTTTTTTTAATTCTGAAATAATTAGTGAGTCAATTTCTTCACTACTGGCTCCCACATAGCACTTTCTAACTGATCTCTTCCCAGAGAGAGAAATGACTTGCTAAAAATCATCATCATAATCTTAAAGCTGCTTTTTCAAAACAAGTATGTAATTTTACTCTTGTGACAGCCCTAGACAAAAAAAAATAAATAAAAATAAAATAATTAAAAATAAAACTGTAAATGCATATCTGTAGATAAAGACAGATCTGGAAACACCCAAGACACACAGAGAATCTTTCCCAAACCAGGTTAGGTTGCCTTGGCAACCGTTCCACTGGTGCCTTCCAACAGATCTTTGAAGCTTGGCTAAGGTGTGTACATTAATTTCATAGACATGCTTAATACTGCTCATTACCTTAGCAGTTCCCAGATTCTTCCAGAGTCTCACAAGGGGACTTTGTGCCTTCATGAAAAATTTAAAACACCAACAAAACTGGCCTGGTGCAGTGGCTCACACCTGTAATCCCAGCACTTTGGAAGGCTGAAGCAAGCGGATCACCTTAGGTTAGGAGTTTGAGACCAGCCTGACCAACATGGCGAAACTCCGTCTCCACTAAAAATACCAAAATTCACCAGGCGTGGTGGTGTGTGCCTGTAGTCCCAGCTACCCAGGAGGCTGAGGCAGGAGCATCGCTTGAACCTGGGAGGTGGAGGTTGCAGTGAGCCGAGATCATGCCACTGGACTCCAGCCTGGGTGACACAGTGAGACTGTGTCCCAAAACAAATAGGTAAATAAAATACCAATAAAACAGAGGCATGTTGGGTTGGCTTATTGTGGTGATTTCTTTAGAAATCCTTGTGAGTCCTCTGATCTCCACAGTGTTGCATCACCATCATTTTCTTGTTCAGTAGAGCAGGGTAAACACATTTACCATATTTACATTTCCTTGATATAGTCACTAGATACTTTACTGTGTCTGAAAACAGTAAGGATATTAGCTTTATGAATATGCATTGCTTTTTATGGAAAAGTTCTTAAAAGTTGGAACTATGACTTTTGCTTTTGTTTTTTGGAGTCATATGTAGCATCGTTTTGGTGCTTTGATTCTTATTTCTTTTGAACAGTTACATTCTTTTATTTTAAATTGGTTTGAGTATTTTGGAGAAGTTTCCCAAGATAAGTACAATAATCCTATTTTCATATAGTCCTTTAAAGCTACATCTAAGTATTTCTGATACTACATCAAGAAGATTGGTTAATTCATGGCCGGGCATGGTGGCTCACGTCTATAATCCGAGCACTTTGGGAGGCTGAGGCAGGCAGATCACCTGAGGTCAGGAGTTTGAGATCAGACTGGCCAACATGGGGAAACCCTATCTCTACTAAAAATACAAAATTAGCCAGGCGTGGTGGCAGACACCTGGAATCCCAGCTACTGGGGAGGCTGAGACAGGAGAATTGATTGAACCTAGGAGGTGAAGGTTGCAGGTTGCAGAGAGCCAAGATTGCGCCATTGAACTCCAGCCTGGGTGACAAGAGTGAAACTCTGTCTCAAAAAAGAAAAAGAAAGAAGAAGACTGGGAGTTTGCTGTCAGATGTACATCTCATGAGATAACTTTTTTAGATGAGATTGTAGGAACATTCTGTTAATTTTGCTTGTGAACATTAATTTTGCTGGTAAACACTTTGTCGTATGTGTAAATTGTACAGTTGGAGCAGGTATGTCCAGCAACAGTTTTCAAATTATCCTGGCATATTTACCTAAATAACCCTTGATTAGTTGCAAGAACATAGCTATTTTATAGTTGCTCTTCTAGCATTACATGCATATGGAACCAGCCCATGCAGATGGAACCAGCCCTAGAAAACCTCATTTTGTACCAGGTTCAGGAATAGAGAATGAACTTCTGCTGTTTAACTTATTAGGGTAACAGGATTCTGAGCCACAAAGCTGTAGGAGATTATTGGTATTTGAGTATTACATTTTCAGTTTCCATTATGGAGTGTTTAAAATGAGGGAAAGATATCCCATCACTTCAATAAAGTATAAAATCAGTGTATGTCTAAATGTCTCTAGCGTGATCTCTTTAATTGCTGAACTTCTA